TGGCCATTTTGAATTTGATAATAGTGAAAACTGAAATGCTTATTTTGTTTATATTTTCTTGTGATTGTGAAATTTACATTAGGTGGTAAGGTATAAAGGCTATGAGTAAACATATCTGATGTCACTACAAGGGAAGAATGTCAGCCTTCCTTCTTCAGCAGGAATACCCACATACACCCTCACACCAACCACTTGCCTCTGTCAGATTTCATACCACACTCTGCCACTTCCATTTGTCGCATTTCATACCACTCTCTGTCACTTCCACCTGTCACATTTTATACCATTCTCTGCTTCTTCTCTCTGTCACATTTCATACCACTCTCTGCCACTTCCACCTGTCACATTTTATACCATTCTCTGCTTCTTCTCTTTGTCACATTTCATACCACTCTCTGTCATTTCCCTCTGTCACATTTCATACCACTCTCTACCACTTCCATCGGTCACATTTCATGCCACTCTCTGTCACTTCCATCGGTCACATTTCATACCACTCTCTTTCACTTCCATCAGTCACATTTCAAACCACTCTCTGTCACTTCCATCGGTCACATTTCATACCACTCTCTTTCACTTCCATTTGTCACATTTCATACCACTCTCTGCCACTTCCATCGGTCACATTTCATACCACTCTCTTCCGCTTCCATCGGTCACATTTCATACCACTCCCCACCACTTCCATCGGTCACATTTCATACCACTCTCTACCTCTCCATTGGTCACATTTCATGCCACTCTCTGCCACTTCCATCGGTCACATTTCATGCCACTCTCTGCCACTTCCATCGGTCACATTTCATACCACTCTCTTCCACTTCCATTTGTCACATTTCATACCACTCTCTGCCACTTCCATCGGTCACATTTCATGCCACTCTCTGCCACTTCCATTTGTCACATTTCATGCCACTCTCTGCCACTTCCATCGGTCACATTTCATACCACTCTCTTCCACTTCCATTTGTCACATTTCATACCACTCTCTGCCACTTCCATCGGTCACATTTCATACCACTCTCTTCCACTTCCATTTGTCACATTTCATACCACTCTCTGCCACTTCCATCGGTCACATTTCATACCACTCTCTTCCACTTCCATTTGTCACATTTCATACCACTCTCTGTCACTTCCATCGGTCACATTTCATACCACTCCCCACCACTTCCATCGGTCACATTTCACACACTGTAGTAGGTTGCAGTTGATTAAAATGTGACCTATTGTGACTAAACCTCCACCTCTCATCCCTACCCTCGCCCATTACCCACACCTTCATCCCCCCCAACCTCCACCCCTCACCCCTACCCTCACCCCCAACTTCAAAACTCTACAAGTCATCCCCATCCTATCCCTCACCCCTAAACCTCCACATCTCACCCCTACCCTCACCCATACATTCTTCCTCCCTCACCACAACCTCACACACCAACCTCAAAACTCCACCTGTCACCCTCACCCACCAACCACAACCCCCTTGCCCCAGCCTCACCTTAGTCTCACCTCAACCTCGACCCCTCACCCCAACCTTCACCCCAACTCCACCTGTCACCGTCATCCCCCTACCTCCATCCTCATCCCCAACCTCTACCCGGCCCACGCCTTCTTCTCTCCTCCCAAGCTCACACTCAACACATCCTATTAAAAAACATATATTCATATCATATCACCTTGGAATACATTTCCACATAATAGAATCAAATAACAGAGTTTGAGTTTAAAATTTATTTTGAGTTCTAGCAATTAGTCCCCAAAACCTGGTAATAACTTATGTCCTTGATAATTAATGATTTATTGAGCTTTATCATGATATAATTAGACTGTCGTATTATTTGTTTTTTGACACACATATTCTCTCATGTAAAAGTCTCATAAACATGTCATTTTGATGTTTCTTTCCTCATTAGATTACGACTCATGTCATTAAGATGTTCATTTCATAATGATCCTGTTCGTTTTAATCTTTGATTTAGCTTCATTAATTTCCCTAAAAGTCCCAGTGGTTATAGGTCCATAATTTCATTAGTGGAATGACATTAGAATTATTTTTGTGGTAATTAAGTAAGTAGTGAGGAGATCAAAATTTTATATTATAAAAAAATAACTAAAACATATTGATGAAAAATTATAAGAAATATTCTCATATCTGATATCCCCTGCCATGATATTGCCAGAATATTGCTAAAAGCGGTGTAAAACCATACTAATTCACCTAATGACATATGAATAATTTACCCAAATATTTTGTGCATAAAGCTTATCACCATATGTTGAACAAATAAAAACTATCCATATCATTAACATATGTAACAGTAAAATGAATAAATTACATTTTAGAATATGTTTTATTACATCTACCAGATTAGTTTCAGACAGGATTGATCAAACCATACAAATAAATATCTGAAAATATTCTTATACGACCCCCTGTCTCATAAGTGTGCCTGCATTTTTAGCCTCAGTCCAAGATCAATGTCCCTGTGCTTTGTAAGTAAACTAGACAGCTGGCCTCAGTGTAAACCAGGATTAACGAGTAATTGGCTTAGCATAAGATACCAACGTAAACATCAATAGCATTTAGAAAATTCAATCAAGCGAGACAGATTCACATTTACTGTCTGCAGCCAGTTGATATCAACGATGAAATATACGCAGCTGATGTGAGCGATTGCTTTATATGTCTTCATAAAGGCATTAATGCATGCTTCAACAGTAATGTCCCAAAATAAGCAATACTGATATCTCACACAGATGGCGTTTTGTTTTGTGGGAGGATTTAATCCCTTCCTGGGTTGTAAATAACATGAAATCGACAATATAATCTATGAACAGTTGTGTTTCTGAATTGTTGTTCGAGTGTTTTTGTATTGAGTTTTGGAGAACATTACTGAAATCAATTTCTTTTAATGTTTATTAAATGATGTATCGTAAAACACCGCAACATCAAAGTACATCTCAGAACATATTTATTGATCATGAAATAAAACTGCATTTTAATTAGTACTGTTGGTACTGTATATATATGTCATATTCCTGCGAATTAAAAGTTTACTAATTTTATATAAAAATATCAATAGTGGTCATATATTTGATATGAGAAGATATATTAATTGAAACATACATACATGTATTACTCTTGGAATCCTTGGGCACAGGTGGCAAAGTGGCAACGGTTTCAGCAGTTTACTGTGCAGAACTGCATCCCTCAACCATACCATTAGCTCTCATCCCTTAACATGTCATTATCTCTCATTCCTTAAAGTTTTTTGGGGGATGGGATTCAAATTCCAGCTTTCGCTTTAGCACCAAACAAGTCCCAAGAACCTATTCTGGTCACAAGAGGCAATTAAGTGAACTGGGTGGTCAGACTTTGTTGGTTGCGTGTCATTGTACCCGACAGAATGTGACTTTCTTCATAGCATCAGTCACTGGTTTGCCAGACCCGATATTTACAGTTTACCATTATAGTTGGAATGTTGCTGAGTGTTGGGCAAGAAACAAACTTCCCTTTTTGTTGCAATCATCTTCCCGAGGCAAGGGAGTTAACTGAAAGTCCAGTTTCTACCCTTGCCGAACTAGGCTGGAATTTGAGGGCTTGATTGAAGCGCTATCAGTGGCTGTTACAAGTTGTCTTTTCTATGTCCCCACTACTGACCAATCAGATTACATCTCTCATATCACTTGCTTTCTCCAAACAAAATCGTTGTGCCCAGTCTAGACGATCTCATCGATAATAAAGATCTTTATTGAAATAAAACAGGTTATAACTCGCGAAGTGCATTAAATCACTTGAGCACTTGGATTAAGAACATGAAAAAGATTTGGAAAGTATCTGTCGACAACCCGTATTGTACACATACTCTGCAAATCCTGCAAGCTAACAAATGTGGCATGGCTGTTGGCATGTTCATGAACTGGATGTCGATATCGTCACATGATTTTGATTGGACTATGCATAGTACGTCTCGTTAGTCCAGCCAAAATATGACTCCATGATCCCGGCCTAGCTCTGCAAGAGTGGAAACTAGAACTTTCAAAGTCAGTTAACTCCCTTGCCTCAGGAAGATGCGTTGCAATATATCTGAAATAATGTTCAAATACATGTTAAACCGAACTCACTCACTCATTCTATAAATTCCAACCACAGATGACACAGAAAGATTGCAGTACCAGTATATTATAAGCGCTAATTATGAAGAAACAAAACCTTTTTTCTCATTCTACATGATGAGAAAAAATATTGTCTGTTACATTTACTAAAAACTACATGTAGTTGAAATGCATAAATAGAACTGAAGCTCGTAGTATGAAAAACGTAAATCTAAAATTTGTAACACATAAAATATATGAATAACACATAAGATATGATTTGTATAATCATTTTAACCATCTATACCAATAAAAGTCTACAAATGGAGACTCTCACCCTCGTGTCTTTTGATATCTAAATATCAACAAGTGTTGATATTTTTTATATAAAAAAACACGAGGGTGAGATTTTATTTATCATCCAACATCATTCTTTCAACTTTTTCAGTTTGTAGACAGTAATAACCAGTGTCTTAGTACTGCTAAAAGCTTCAGTTGCAGAGCCAATAGTGATGTCATTTGATTGTGACATCATGGTAACTAATGACATCACAAGGGTCTGCAAAGCATTGTGATACAATTTCATTGCGGCGATATGTACAATGTAGATATCGCTTGATCTCACCCAAGCAATATCTCCTGCAGGAGCCAGTTTTGGATGATGAATAAACCTATAACACCCGACAAGTGATTTCCAGCTTAACAGCTTCAATTCGGAATTCACCATAATCAGCTGAGAGAAATATACACGCACTCATGTAAGTGTTTTAGCCCATGAAGAAACTACTTAACCAGGGGAAATTAGTCACAATAAATGCCACATATGTTTGAATAGTTTTCCTAATAAATGATGAGTGTGATATGGATGAATGCTATCAAGTAGTGCATGATGGCCTCACTGATCATGGACCTGTCGTGATGGAGCTGGTGCAGAGTGGAAGTGACCCATGCCGGTGAGGATCTAAGTACTTCGGAATGGACTGCTGCCACAGGAACTCGTTATTGGTAAGTAATTAAAATATGTATCCCATAGGGGGTAATATTTTATTTACTTACCAATAACGAGTTCCTGTGATTGCTGGTGGTCTTGTGACACTGCATGACCTTGAGTCTTGTAAACATCTCTTGTTGTTTTTCCAATATCATCATGACCAAGTTGTATTTCTATAAGTAAGATTTGACCAGACCATTTTTCAAATCTGTCAGCACCCTACCCATGCTCATGGTAAACATCTAAGACCTGCATCAATGGGCTTTTTTCCCACATTAAGCACACTGTGATATAACTGAATACTGTTCAAAGCGGCATAAAACCCAACTCACTCATAAGTAATTCAGATGCTGCTACCATACCATAGTTTATAAACTCTTTACAGAAAAAATAATCAATGTTAGCAAGTTTTGTGCACAGCATGCTTGAAATGCAAAATGATGCGTTCTCTATGTAGATTCCGCAACTGTGAAATTATATGGTATATTATCATTACTATTATTGTTGTTGTTGTTATTATTATGTGATATGTTTGTATTATTATCATAATGTGTTCTGTTTTAACTGTTTGTAGCTGGCGCATGTGTATATGTACTATATAAGTGATCTTATCATATTATCTTTTCAGTACAAGAAATAACTTTTTTAAATAAATGGAACTGTTATCATTGTATCTTTTTCTGTGCTTCTAGTGTTACAAAACCTCATACATAAAATGTTAACAGTGAAGGATGAATTATTTGTGAATGCAATCCATCTGGTATGTATTCTGTAAGTATATTTCTGGGAAATAGAGAATCAGTGAAACCATGTTATGTGGGATTAAGTAGCAGCAGCAGTAGAATTTAGGTTGAGCTTGGACCAGTGAAAGGTCTATTTGTGCCAAGCCCTTAACAAAATTTTAATTCAATCCTTAGTTTTGCACACAATTTTCTCATAATAAGCTAAAAAGAAAGAAACCAGTAATCGATATTTTTTCGGTCATGAAAAGATATGCTACAGGCAACTATGAGCAGCCTCTGTCTAAATGTTTCCTTGAGTTGATTATTATTTTTACAACATCTGCCGAGATTAAAAAGTCCTAAAACACTGGATACCATATCATTTGCAACCAAGCGAAAATGATGTTCAAAGAATAATCAATTATGGGTTATGAGTTATGTCCCTTTGTATGAAGCAGGTTCATACCACTGTATTAAACAGGTAGGTTTATACTTGTATAGTAAACAGGTTATACATCTAATAGTAAACAGGGTCATGCTACTGTATTAAACAGGTTTATAGCCTATATTAAACAGGTTTATACCTCTATAGTAAACAGGTTTATACCACTGTAAACAGGTTATACCCTTATAGTAAACAGGGGCGGTCGGGTAGCCTAGTGGTTAAAGCGTTCGCTCGTCACTCCAAAGACCCGGGTTTGAATCCCGACATGGGTTCAATGTGTGAAGCCCATTTCTGGTGTCCCCCGCCGTGATATTGCTGGAATATTGCTAAAAGGGGCATAAAACCAAACTCACTCACTCACCTATAGTAAACAGGTTCATACCCATATAGTAAACAGGTTTATACCCCTATAGGTAACAGGTTCATATCACTGTATAAACCAGGTTCATGCCACTGTATTTAACAGGTTTATACCCCTATAGTAAACAGGTTTATACCCCTATAGTAAACAGGTTAATGCTACTGTATTAAACAGATTTATACCCTATATTAAACAGATTTATACCCCTATAGTAAACAGGTTTATACCCCTATAGTAAACAGGTTCATGCCACTGTAGTAAACAGGTTTATAACCTATAGTAAACAGGTTCATGCCACTGTTGTAAACAGGTTTATAATGCATATAGTAAACAGGTTCATACCCCTTATAGTAAACAGGTTTATATGCCTATAGTAAACATGTTCATGCCACTGTAGCAAACAGGTTTATACACCTATAGTAAACAGGTTCATGCCACTGTAGTAAACAGGTTTATACACCTATAGTTAACAGGTGTATACCCCTATAGTAAACAGGTTTATACTCCTATAGTAAACAGGTTTATACCCCTACAGTAAACAGGTTCATGCCACTGTAGCAAACAGGTTTATACAATTATAGTAAACAGGTACATGCCACTGTAGTAAACAGGTTTATACCCTGCTGTCAACAGGTTTATACTCCTATAGTAAAAGGGTTTATACCCCTATAGTAAACAGGTTCATGCCACTGTAGCAAACAGGTTTATACAATTATAGTAAACTGGTTCATGTCACTGTAGGAAACAGGTTTATACATCTTTAGTTAACTGGTTCATGTCACTGTAGTAAACAGGTTTATACCCCTACATTAAACTGGTTCATGTCACTGTAGTAAACAGGTTTATAAATCTTTAGTAAACAGGTTCATGGCACTGTATTAAACAGGTTTATACCTCTATAGCAAACAGGTTTATACCCGTATAGTAAACAGGTTCAAGCCACTGTATTAAACAGTTTTATACCCAATAGTAAGCAGGTTCATACCACTGTATTAACCAGGTTCATACCACTGTATAAACCAGGTTCATGCCACTGTTGTAAACAGGTTTATACCCCTATAGTAAACAGGTTTATACCCCTTATAGTAAACAGGTTTATACCCCTATAGCAAACAGGTTTTTACCACTGTATAAACCAGGTTCAAGCCACTGTATAAAAAAGATTCGTGACATATATTAAACAGGTTCATGCCACTGTATTAAAAAGATTCATGCCATGTATTAAACAGGTTCATTCCACTGTATTAAAAAGGTTCATGCCACTGTATTAAAAAGGTTCATGCCACTGTATTAAAAAGGTTCATGTCACTGTATTAAAAAGGTTCATGCCACTGTATTAAACAGGTTCATGCCACTGTATTAAAAAGGTTCATGTCACTGTATTAAAAAGGTTCATGTCACTGTATTAAACAGGTTCATGCCACTGTATTAAAAAGGTTCATGTCACTGTATTAAACAGGTTCATGCCACTGTATTAAAAAGGTTCATGTCACTGTATTAAACAGGTTGATGCCACTGTATCAAAAAGGTTCATGCCACTGTATTAAACAGGTTCATGCCATTGTATTAAACAGGTTCATGCCACTGTATTAAACCGGTTCATACCACTGTTTTAAACAGGTTCATATGTATAGCACTGTAAAACTGGTTACAACCTTTTAGCTGGATCGTCATTATAACTGCCAAGCTGAATGAACAAATTAAAGTAAATTGATATAAAACTTCTAATGTGAACAACCTTCAAGCCTGATTAAGTAGGGCTATTTTCAAACTCAAGCAATTAACCAGTTTCAGTTTACTCCAAGTTGGGTGGGATTGTGTAGGCTCGTAGATATCCCAAATTTTAAGGAGTTCCCTTTTCTCACCATTACAAGCTGAGAGCCTGAACATAGTTCAACCATTAACATGCCTCCAAAGCTGGGATTTACCAGATTAACACCCAACCTCTTACATGTGTTTCAGGACTTCTGGAGACATGTTAGTGCCACCACCAGTAACCTCTGGACGGCAGACCATAAACCTGTCTCCAGCCTCCAACTAAACCGGTAAGCTAATGCCCATGTCAGTCCATACAAACTTCATCAGGCCAGTCTGGATACATCGTGGTACCAATTTCTTCAGCACTTCCTGCAAATGAGCCAGACATCATCAGTCTGGGAATTAACCCCCTTGACCCCCTGAACACACTCTGGTGCCAGAATTAGGCTCAATTGTCTCAGAAGCTCTGTTTGAACATTTGTGTGTGATAACTCCAGAGAAGGTATACAAACATCCCCCATGGCGCTTCCCATCTGGGAGCTATCGTGACCAGGGGGCTTGACCGATTCCCACAGTGACCGGTGGTTAGTCTTGCCTTCAGAGCCTGGGAATTTCCATTGGCCAGGGAGAAGAGAAGAAAAATACTCTCTCAAGGGAATGGTCAGATATCCCTGCTGTTGTGCTTGTGTTTTTTGGGAGTAACCACTTAAAGTGCTACTTGACTTGTTTATTGGTTTGGGGGTCTTTAAAGCAAAATGCCTGTAAACACATTCTGTGGTATGAACCTGGAGAATGTGGAAACTGTATCCAAGGAATTACCGCTGAAGCTGATTTCCTGGAGCATTTGTGATAATAAACATAGGGGATGATTCCAGATGAAATGACTTTTTAATTGAAAGGTATTATATCTGTTCATTTAATCTGGAAAATAACATTCGGGTGGTTCCTTGTAGGAGTCACAGCTTGCCACTGAGATGGCATGGACAATCAGTTATTTATCATGCTAGACCTAAGCACATGCACTACTTATGCAAGAATGACTGGGGATTAAGCAGATTAAGAGAATGTGATGTATTTTAATGTGACCAAGGGTGTTGGGTTAAACTACGGACCTTAGTAGCCTAAATAATGTTATTTAGTTGGTTGAATGCAGTCTTTGAGATATATAACAAAAATATAGAACATCAATGCCAGGGAACAACCATCTCAATCAGCCTCTGAAACAGATTCCATTGAAAATATTATATGAATGCATCACTGAATATCAGTGAGAACACAGGACAAAGTGACATAGGTGGAGTTAACATGGTTAATGGTACCAGTAGACCAAAGAGCATTATCAATAAAAGAAATATCTATGATCAGCAGATCCTGGAACTGCAAAGGGATGCAACTTTGCACAGCAAATCAATTGTTGTTGTGTCTTAGGCTTCACATACACATATTTATCGTAGTAGTAATGTCTTTTCAACACTTTTTCATATAGAGAGCTTGTGTTCCTTTGAGATATGCGTAATTCATTTTTGTTGTAATAGGATTTTGCAAAACGCAAGTTCAAGATGAGTTGATCACTTTGGTGAATATATTCACTGTATTTCTTAGTTTTCAAATTGGGAAGTGCTTTTGTGATTGCTTAGACTTTCTCACAGTCTATGAACCATATTATTTCTGCTTCTACCCAGCACAGGTAATGCTATAAGTCCAAATAAAGTAAGTCTAGATTCTCCACAGGTTCTGGATCTCCCATCTCACTGGGGCTCCTCTTCAGCTTAAATGGAGTTTTTCGTTTCTATCAAAATTATATATTTTCAGAGACCAAGTGTAAGTTTATGAACTTGGTTATTTCTAAGCCTATGGTTAATATAAGCCTTACTATACTGACAGTAACATCCCTATGTTCATAACCAGTCCCAGTTCTTCCTCAGATCATGTTATATGAATTACATACAATACATTTTTTCATAGATTAACTGTTATTATACAAAAATCATTCACAAACAGATTTACTAAGTTGTGATTATAAAATCAGCTGATAAGAAAATGAAAGTGTTTTTAAGACTCATGAGACCACATCCACATTCTAATGGACATGGGACTTTGCACTAGCCATGTTAATCAAATTTACATACCTCTACCATAGTATGCCACTGCTTCAAAGATATTCCTTTCAACAAATAAAACTATTTAGCTACAAAGCATATTTGAATCCCCACTGAACCACAAACCTTCCAAACCAATTACACATGATATTACAAACACACAGATTACCTCCAAAAACCCAAACAAATGATTAACTTTAAAAAGTCAGGGGCAAGTCAAGCCAATTAATGAAAGTGGATGTTTATCAATCTTATATACTTTAGTGTTCCAACAGAAGTGATTCAGCCAAGTTTTGCCAAAATTTATAAATCAGCACCATAAAGCAAGAACCTCCAGCCAAATAGCAGACTTCAAACCTCTGCCAAATGTTGGCCTTTGCTTATAGGTGGTAAGCCATGTTTCTCTTTCAGTTGAAACAGCATGCACATCTTCCCGCAGGTTGTTTCAAGGAAAGGCTGTTTTCTCCTCATCTAAACACTGTTTTCTATCAAATTACACCTCATTTAATGATGAAAGCTGTAGTAGTATTTAAGGAATTTATGTCTTTAGGGTGTGCATTAGTTTTGATTCTTCCTTGAGGAGTAGTAGGTCTACTAGACTGAAAATAACCAATATTATGACTACAATGGTTAAGGGTTGCCAATAATTACATCTGCATGTATAAGAGTTGCTGTCTAGCAAGTTGTTGTATTTTTGGTGTGATTTTCTCCTTGAGATTTTGTTGATGGAGGGGTGCCATTTTTGCTGATGTATTGGTTTGCCTTATTTTTGTAACCACCCAAAATATGGAACCAAATGGTATTCCTTCTACTTCACTTATTTACTTAGATCCCGTTCCACAAAGTGATCTTAGCGCTACCATTGCTGTAATTCTAGGTTAAAGGATGGGAGTTACGATCACCCAAGCGATGTTTTCGCTTTTTGAAACAGGCCCTTTGTCATAACTGTAGGGTAATTTGATTGGTAAGGCGATAATGATACTCATATTATGTTTTTGATAGATCATAATGAATTTTTTGTCATAAGGCAATGATAATGTAATTTTGTCAGATGGTAATGTTGTATTTCTCACATGGCAATGTGAGGCTATTTTGTTATGTGAGTGATGTCATTTTGTCACATGGCAATGATGTCATTTTATTATTCAGCAATGATGTCATTTTGTCATACAGCCATGATGTCGTTTTGTCACATGGCAATGATGTCATTTTGTCATTCAGCAATGATGTCATTTTGTCATACAGCCATGATGTCATTTTGTCACATGGCAATGATGTCATTTTGTGATTCGGCAATGATGTCATTTTATCTTACAGCCATGATGTCATTTTGTCATACAGCCATGATGTCATTTTGTTATACAGCCTTGATGTCATTTTGTCACATGGCAATGATGTCATTTTGTCATTCAGCAATGATGTCATTTTGTCATTCAGCAATGATGTCATTTTGACATTCAACAATAAAAATGTCATTTTGTCATATCAACAATGATAATGTCATTTTGTCACATGGCAATGATGTCATTTTGTCACATGGCATGCAATGATGTCATTTTGTCATACAGCAATGATGTCATTTTGTCATTCAACAACAATAATGTCAATTTGTCATATCAGCATTGATAAGGTCATTTTGTCATTCAACAACAATACTGTCAATTTGTCATATCAGCATTGATAAGGTCATTTTGTCATTCAGCAATATTAATGTCATTTTGTAATACTGCAATGATGTCATTTTGTCACATGGCAATGATGATGTCAATTTGTCATCAGCAACGATAGTGTCATTTTGTCATCAGCAACGATAGTGTCATTTTGTCATTCAGCAATGATAATGTCATTTTGTCATACAGCAATGAAAATGTCATTTTGTCATTTAGCAATGATGTCATTTTGTCATTCAGCAATGATGTCATTTTGTCATTCAGCAACAATAATATCATTTTGTCATATCATCAATGATAGTGTCATTTTGTCATTCAGTAATATCAATGTCATTTCGTCATTCAGCAATGATGTCATTTTGTCATATCAGCAATGATAATGTCATTTTGTCATTCACCAATGAAAATGTCATTTTGTCATACAGCAATAATGTCATTTTGACATATCAGCAATGATGTCATTTTGTCATTCAGCAATATTAATGTCATTTTATCTTTCAGCAATGATGTCATTTTGTCATACAGCACTATTAATGTCATTTTATCATTCAGCAATGATGTCATTTTGTCATACAGCAATGGTGTCATTTTGTCATACAGCAATAATACTGTCACCTGCCATAGATGCATTTGAATTTCTTATGACAATTGATCATGTTCTAATGATAAGTAGATGGTAATGGCAGTTACCATCTGAAGACACACCTTCACTTAAACCACACAAAATGTGTTACCAAGCATGCATCATTGTTACATGCCTATCCCAATGAAACACACACAGAATGTAGGCCTACAGGGATGACTTAACAGGAACTTAACAGTGTCTTCATCTTCCAATTTCTCAGGATGATCATTATTGAGTTGGAGTGAGTGAGTTGGGTTTTATGCAGAATTTTAGCAATATTCCAGCAATATAATGGCGGGGGACACCAGAAACGGGCTTCACATAGTACCCATGTTGGGAGTCGAACCCGGATCTTCAGCGTGACGAGCGAATACTTTGACCACTAGGCTACCCCAGTATTGAGTTAGAAACTGTCAACTGTTAACTATACCTTTTTCAATGTTTGTCTATATACCTAATCTCATCTATTACACCTTTGTGTGAAGCCCATTTCTGGTGTCCCCCGCCATGATATTGCTGGAATATTGCTAAAAGCGGCGTAAAACCATACTCACTCACTCACACCTTTGGTACCCAGAGGTGCTTCTAGGATGAGAAGTTCCCAGCAATCCATGCTTTGCATATGATGCAAGCCAATTTACCAGGTGGTCCTGCTTGGGAATGTGGTTGACTGACATCATCATGCCCAGTTGGTGTGGGAATATGGTCATAATATATGTCACTGGTTTGTCCGGTCCAAAACAAACAATCAAAACATGTCCGGATTAATTTTTTGAGAAGCATTCTGCTGGCTATATCCCTGAACTGATTACATGTTACTCGTTTCTTATCTGTTGGAGGGCCCAGTGGTTTTGGAGGCCACAACTCCTGATGCAGAGTTCTCTTCCTTAGCA